ACTCTTCCCTTTTCAAACACTGAGTACATACTACAGTTGTTTCATATTTTCATTTGATTTGTCATTAATTACACCCATCAGTTATTTGCATTGGTTTTACAGGAAATGCAAAATCTCAACAGTGTACTAAAGTAAAAGTATGTCTGAGAGTCAACAGCATTCTAATTCCTGTGAGTGAAAATGGAAGCAATAATGAAAAACAATACCACTGAAAGCATCAAAATACCTCTACGTAGTTTTTTTTACCACAGTAATTACAATTATTAAAAGTTTTAAGTATTTCTTAGACACTGAATCCATGAGCTCTGTTGTCCTTTTCCTGAACACTCCTAGAATGAGGCATAAATTTAAAGCACCTCCAACTCTATGTAACAGCTTAGGATGAAATTTCAACCACCACCCCTAACTTCAGTGGGCTAGAAGCCTTCAAATTTTAATGAAAAAAAAAAACCAAAACAAACCCTGTCCCATGACTTTGCATCCTCAGCTCACATCTGTGGTGTTCCAGCAGTGCTGGCTGTCTGGAAGAAGGGAGAAGCGAACAATGCCTGCTGGCTCTTACCCTTTACTTACTCTTTACTAGATAGAAGGGCCCAGGCAGAGAGATTCATCCCATCGCAGTGGAAAGAGGGATGAAAACAAAGTAAAATCCTCATGTGTGCAGTACAGAAGAGGATTAGCCTTAACCAAGTTTGCAGAGAACATCCTGAAAGCTCTGACAGCATTAGCACCAAACATCATGTTAGGCTTTGGTACTGGAAATGCCAATGACTGCACTACTACGCACACAATGACGGCACATGTGGCCCACAAATTGAAGAAAAAAATTACAGAAATGTACAGTTTAAGTGACCCTTAGTATCACAGAATGGACAAGGCTGGAAAGAACATCAATGGGTCATCTGGTCTCACCTCCCTGCTCAAGCAGGTTCTGGAGTATCTCAAGTGAGGGAGACTCCACAGCTTCTCTGGACAATCAGTTCCAGTGCTCGGTCTCTGCACAGGAAAGAAATTCTTCCTCATGTTCAGGTGGATCCTCTGTACATCCATCTGCCCATTCCTCTTGTCCCACGGCCCCACAGAGCAGAGCCTGCTCCATCCCCTGTCCCCTCCCTGCAGACACTGACACACAGGCATGAGGGCCCCTCTCAGCCCTCTCTTCTCGAGGCTGAACAGGCCCAGCTCCCTCAGCCTTTCCTCACTGAGATGCTCCAGTCCCTCCATCTTCTGTCACCCTCTGCTGGATCTGCTCCAGGAGCTCCGTGTCTCTCCTGTCCTGAGGAGCCCAGAGCTGGACACAGCACTCCAGGAGAACCTCACAGGGCTCAGCAGAGGGGCAGGATCACATCCCACAACCTGATGGCAGTGCTCTTCCTAATACACCCCAGGATTAATTACTTCAATTGTGACCAAAGCCCTTTTAAACACAAATAAATGTCTATCATCTTTATCTCATTGTATTTACAACTTAAACATTTGGAGAAATTTTAAGCAACCTCCAGCCCTATTGTTAGAAAGGTCGGACAATCTTTATGGTTCTCCTCTAATGCTAACATAAACTGATATGGATCTTAAGAGGCACAGAAATGTAAAACCAGATAATATAAAATAAAGTCCTTGCATGAAAAGGCTCTATCATAAAAACCTTGCCTCACTCTTCTAGTTTCAACACCTACTAAAGACAGGCATTCTCTCCTTGGCATAAAGAAAACTCCTGCTATGTCTATGTGGAGCTCCTATGATAAACCCAGAACAGTCTGCACCTCGGGTGAGTAGCCAAGATGTTTCAATTTTACACCTACTACGTTTTATAAACTACTCAAAGCATTTTGAATGAAAAATCTAATAAAAAATAAACAAGTACACTTAGCACTACTATCTGTGAGCTGTCAATCAAACACATGGTCTGATCCACATAGTAACAGCCTTAAAGATTTTAGACTGTGTAATTCTCAACCAATGCACAGGGAGAATCTCTTCAAAGCCACCTGGAAGCAAGTTTTAAAACAAAAAAAATGGCACACCCATATTTCTCGTCACTATCCCTTATCCTGAAATATGTTCACACATTTTTGAAGACTAATAAAGAAATCCTCAATTTATTTCTTGCTGAAAAATGTTTGTGCCAGCCAAGTTGAAAAGACAATAACCTCAAACATAACATGTCTGGTTAAGTAAAAATATATGACTAATGTTACTGTCATAAATGCCATTTTAAAAAGTTCAATGAGAAATTTGGATTGTTATTTCAATTTGTATTTTCATACAGCTTTCAGCAATGAAAGGTATACTGAAAATATATGCAAAGTAAGATTTTCCCTAACATTTTTTTCTTATGAAAACATGAACTAAAATTTCTCTCTATCCCTCCTAGCCTTTCTTTCCACCCACACTCCTTAAAAATGAAAAATGCATACTTGCAGAACTTAAACACACTAAATGTCACATAATAAACAGTTTATCATTGTCATTCCCATCAATTCATTCATATACTAGTGCCCTGTAATTGTTCCTCACCAAAAGCTATTATTGCTGCATTTACTCAAAGTCGGTCTTATCAGTTTATTGTATTTAGAAGTGTTTAAAGCTTATCCTAAAGATCAGAATATGCCTCAACAAATTGGACTGTCTACTGTCAGCCAAGAAAGTATCTCCTGGTTTCTCTACTAAACTATATGGGAACTTTGACTAAACACTCAGATATTTTACAGGCAAAGACCTCTTTCCCACACCCTTTATGAAAATATGTTTTACTACCCTAAGTGACAGTGGTAACTACCTATTTAGGAAAGATAAATTACACATTTTAGTATTTCATGTGTCCTAAATGCAAATCAGAGCCAGATGTGCTATTTCCAAGAACTAAATCACTGTAACAATCAATAACAAATCCCAGGAACACGCAGACATTTCGTGTGTGTTTCACTGAAAGATATTTGGTCAGTTGCATACTTAGCAATTTAAAGCAGATATACAGCAGCTTTCCTCAAGTTTCTTATGGACAGAAAAGCTGGTACCCAGAATCTGTAAGCTAAATAAAGATGCTGCATCTCTGGCCCCTTGGAATTTACCTGTGTAGCATTGCAAAGAAACAAGAATACCACTCATAAATCGTACATGAAAGTTGTGTATTTATTTTAAATGTTTGGGTTTTTTTAGAGGACTGACTTGACATCTGTGTGGAAAAGCCTGAGTAATCACAACCAGCTATCAGCCCTTCACACCAGCACTGCTATTTTCAGTGATACACCCTGTTTTCGCTACAGTGCTCTTGGCATCATCATGCTACTGTGATTCAATATTTATCTGTTGGATCTAGTTACATCACAACACTCTCTATACTACCTAAATCTCGTGTGGAACTTCTGCGGCTAACACCTAACCCACCGGTTTTGAGCTCTCCCTTCGAAATTCTCCAGGCACAGAACAAAGTCAGTGAAGATGTGCAAACATCTGGCCCCCTGTGAATCATCCGTCCTCTGAAAGGGTGTGCGGTCATGCATAAGCACTGCACCTTCCTTCTAATGGCAATCGGCAGGAACAAAACCGAGCGTGAACTGCAGTGGTTAGCATAAAACCACTTGTGAAAGGAGTGTGCCAAAAATTGTCTTCAAAATACCTTTACTAGCAAGAGTTTTGCTCCTACAGAAGCTACTCACCAGCATCAAGTTAAAGCAATCATATACCATTCATGACGGCAAACAAGGCCCTTGGAGCTTAATAATTTTAAAAGTTGTGTTAGGAGCAAGGTGGTAGTGTCTTTGTGAAACGACAGAACTGAGTGCTGAAACTTCTGCTAACAACAAAGCCACCTGCTATGTCCAAGACCAGCATTTCAGTATAATCCCGAGAAAAGATTAATTCTAGAATATTTTTAGCCCTGGCTTTAGAAGCAGACAGCACTCCATATACACTGAAAAGCATCGGGGTAGAGAGTGGACAAGAGAATACATGCAGGAAACACTGTTTAAAATCAAAACACGGTCAATTATTCTCATAAAATCCATTGTCACGAAGAAAAACTCCAAGCACACTGAACAGTGATACTACTAAGGCTTGCAGAACAATCTCAGCTTTAGAATCAGACACACAGAAGATTAGGCAGTCTCAGTATCACTGTTATCTTTCGTGTCCTTTTTGTAACACAGACAAAACTACAGAAAATACATGAAAGAGGATGAAGAAATAAAGAAAGGACTTCAAAACTGAGTAGTCACAGAAATACGGGGGCAGGGGAGAATGGAGTTCAGGTTTAATTCTTTATCACCATCTGATTTGGGGGAGTCTGCATTTTCTTGGTGACTCGAATTGTCATTTTCATCCAACAGCGGTAACCCGAAACAGCAGCTGGGGAACGCCAGCCACTGCCTCAACTCCCAGGTTTCACACAAGCCTCGAGCATCGGTTTAACAGCAGTTGCATAATAAGACTCAAAAGGCCAAGCACTCCTCCTGCCTTGTACATCTCCATTTCCACACGAACGAGAGTGATGGATCTGGACGAGAACCGAGCACTACCCGAGCGCCACTACCAAGCTGGTTATCATGCAGCACAGAGGAAAACCCAACACCTGGCGCACAAATATGCGGACACCCAGTGAATAGGTGGATCTACGGAGAGCTGTCTTCCCTTTCCCATCCCCAATAGGCAATCCTTGATGGGTGTGCCAGGAATGGGATATCGGGGGGAGGAGAAGAAAAGGGGTGGGAAGTGGTTGTCGCTTGCTGCAGCCAGGCTGAGCGATGGCGAAGTGGTTAATCATGGTGGCTGAGGAAACATGGGGTCACTTCTCCCCCTTCCGCCTCCCGTGTGATAAGGACGGTGGGCACCGGCCACGGGGGGGACCCGGACCCCGCACGGACCCGCCGGCGGCGGCGACTCAGGTGGGTCCCGGGCGGAGCATCACCGTGCCCGGTGCGGGCGGGGGGCGCCGGGCAGCGCTCCCCCCGCCCAGCCCAGCCCAGCCCAGCCCAGCCCAGCCCGCTCCCCGCCGCACTCACTTGCCGATCACCTCGCAGAGCTCGTACACGTCCTCGAACAGCACGTCGTCGTCGGCCATGGTCCGGGCGGGGGGGCTCAGCCCGAGAGGCGGCGGCCCCGGGGACGCCCGGCTCCCCCGCCGCTCAGCGCCCACCGCCACCACGGTAAATCCCGGCCGCTCCCAGCGCCGCCCGCCCGCCCGGGGCTCCCGCGGCCGCGCCGGGACTCCCCGCTCCTGCCGCTCCTCCTCCGCCTCCTGCCGCGGCCGCCGCCGCTCCCCGCGCGTGTCGCACCCCCCGCGCCCCCGCCCCCTCCCTCCCGCGCTCAGCCGCGGCTCCCGGCGGGCGGCTCCGGCTCAGCGGGGCGGCGCGGGAGCCATGGAGGGGATCGGGGCGGGCGGCAGCGCCGGGTCGCTCCCTCGCCGGGCGGGAGCGGGGAGCGCGTGCCCGGGCGGGCGGGAGCGCCGGGAGGGAGGATAATAGTGGGAGGGGGAAGGGCGGGGGGGGGGGGGGGG